CTTTACTGAAGAACATGTGGGGGGGGGCTACAGCAACAGAGAGCAGAGATTCAGGGTTAACTTTATTTTTAAGGTTTTTGGTGAACATGAAATAAAACGTTACCGTCCTCCCTCCTCCCTCTCCCCTGACCAGCAGGGCGGGGCTATAACTGACATAAAAACATCAGGGGCAACAACTGGGGCAGATCTATTAGAACTAACTCCCCCTGCTGCCCCTCGTTAATCCCCAGTTCCTCCAGTAGGGGCAGGTCGGTCTCCAGTGGTGGCCTGGAGAATTCATCTTCTTATGATAATTCAGCAGACACTCCCCTGCCTTCNACTCCATTTATAAGGGCAGCAGGGGGGCAGCAGGGGGGGCAGCAGCCTGGTAACGGGGTCCTGCGGAGGGTAAATGCCGGAGTCTTGTTTCAGCAGCTGCACCTGGCGACAGGAAGTCGTTAATGCGACAGAACCGAAACCCGTGTGTCATGACGTTCCATCCCTGTCTTTTCTTTAAACATTTTTTTCCTCTCTTTCTTTTTTTCCTCAGTTCCGTTCCACGTGTCACAGATGTTTTCTGCGACTGAAAACATCGGTGACATCAGAGATCACGTGACACTGACTGACATTTGAAACGTTCCCCACAGAACTCACATGTTCCCACAGTGGTTTGTTTCTTAATCAAACACCTGGTGGTGGATAGTGTGCACTGCATCTGTCTAACAGCTGTGTTAGACAGACTCTCTGTCACTCCCGTGTCTGCTCACCTGCTCATCTGCCGCTCCACATCACACTACTGCTCCTGTGTTCTGTGATGCTGATTATATTCTCATACTGAACGGTGTGACTGAATATAACCATGTCTCTCTCCCTCTCTCTCTCTCTCTCTCTCTGTGACTCTCCACCGACGAGAGTCGGGGCCGCGGTCGACGCTGCTTTACCTCCTCTCATCTGTCTTCTCACTTTTCTTTCCTGCACAGGAGAATGCCATTTCATACTACGATTCCAAAGCGGACTCAGACTATGTGAGTACAGTACGGACTGCACCTGCCTGCCTCCAGTCCCCAACTCCTGCCCTCGCCTCACTTTTTCCTGCAACCCCACCCTTCCTCTTGGCCCCGTCGGTGTTGATGACCCCTGCCCCCCCCCCGGTCACAGACCCCCGGGGCTGTCTGTATGTGTTAGTGAGGTGACACTCCTGTGTGGTGCATGTGACGGCGACCTCGGCCGTTGTCTCCCAGTCTCCCGTCCTCGATCCTGATCGTTTCCACCTCAGCCCTGAACCCTCAACACGACTGCATGTCACTTTGACTGAGAACGTCTCAGCCTGGAGAACGCCGCGTCTTTAAGCCCGGCCCCGGCCCGGCCACTCAGTGGCCTCTGACAGCGGCCCACTTCCTGCTCAGAGCCCCCGCCCCGCTGATTGATTCAGTTCCATGAAAGAAGTGCAACAATTTCCCCGCAGATCACCAAAGCACAAAACGATGGGAAGAGAGTGAGATAGAGAGGTGAGGGGGGTGAGAGAAGGAGGCGCAGAGGGGCAATAAATCATGGTGTGATTTTCTCTTTGTGCACAGCTCCGCTGTGATTAATGACACGTGGCTTTAGGGCCTGTCAGCACATCTAATTGGAGAACATCGGTCATCATTAACATGGCACACACCCAC